TCACACGAGTTTTGGATGCTGGAGGCCCAGTTATCAGTGGGGCATCTTCCTTTCTCCCCAAATGGCTAGATCGCAGGAGCCATGGAGCTGTCTGTCTCTTGAAGAAGGGCTCGTTCCTGGCATGATTTTCAAGTCGCCAAGCCCAGGATTCAAACCACAGTCCACCATGTGGGAGTCCAGCATCTTAACCACAAAACCACAGAAATGTTCCTTCTTAACTGTCTATATCAAAAGTCTCTCATGCATGTGCATCTATATAGACTACGAGTCAGATACTATTATGGTAGATGGAAGGAAGAAGGCAAGCACATGCTCATCTAGTCTTTAATTTACAGTGCTGTCTCCATTCTCCCTATCTTTCAGTCCCTCTTAACTTCTGACTCCCAACTTCCTTATACAATTTGTCCTTCTACCATATCAAACAGCAAATCTAAACAAATAACACAAAAATGAAAATGTCACCAGGGAGGCTCAACAGCACTTTTGTGCTGGTGGAAGAAAGAATTAGTAAACTTGAAGATAGTCAATTAAGAATGTCCAGTCTAAGCAACAAAAATAAAAAAGAAAGGAAAAATTATCACAGAGACACCTGTGGGACACCATCAAGCCTATGAACACACATGTAATAAGAATCACAGAGAAAAGAAAGGAAAAGAATATCTGAAGAAATATCTGAAAAGTTCAATTTTTTTAAAAATGACACTTTTTTACACTAGAAGGCATATGTGTAGTCATGGGTAAAGGGAGAGAGAAAGAGAAAGCACCCCTCAGTGGGGCCTGGTCATGCTGCTACCCTTTTTCCTCCAACTACCCATCTCACCATGATCCTGAGCACGTGTGTACATGTGCCCTGTATGAAGCCAATGGAGCCAAGGCTCAAATCCTGGTCAGTCATGTGGATCCAGTTTCCTCTGAGCAGTGCCTAATCACTGCATCATGGAGCTGGTCCCACTTTCTCAAATCTGATGAGAAACATTATTCGAGAAGCTCCACAAACTCCAAAAAAGAGAACTCAAAAAAAGACCCACACCTAGACACATCATAGTGAAATGGTAAAAGACAAAGACAAAAAAAGAATCTTGAAATAAGCAACAGAAAAAAAAATCCTCAAGTACACGGGATGCTGAAGATTAATAGTTGCTTTCTTTTCAAGAATGATGAAGGGGCAGTTCTGTGATACAGCGGCAACGTACTGCTCAAGAGAACTGAATTTCCCATGGTGACCACAGATCAAATCCAAATTCCTGTCCAAGTCAGCCTGAAACATGTTAGGCACGTGCGCAAGTACACAAAATCTGACAGGCTAGAGGACTAGAGGAAGGATCACAATATGATCAGACCCTATGGAGGATATGCATCTCTTCTCTCTCTCTCTCTCTCTCTCTCTCTCTCTCTGGCAAGCACAGCCACCCTCTGGCAACTTATTTCAAAAGTACATAAAATTAAATAAGATTTTTAAGTAAAAATAAATTTTAAAACAGAAAATCTATAAATGACTTTAAGAGTTAAGTTTCTTCATTGGACTCCAAATTACATAAAAACATATTCACCCATGGATTCCTCAGCACACTGAAATCTTTGTTTCAGAAAAGTCATTTTCAATTCAGTTTTTCACGTCCTACTAATCAATACCTTAAACCTCAGCTTTTACCCAATTAATAGTAAGTCAGTCTGAAAATCCTATTCTAGTAGGCCAGATGATGGCATAGTGGTAAAATGTGATTCCCTGGGAGGCAAGCCCATATGGGAAGGTTCCCAGTTCAAGTCCAGAGACTTCCCTAAGCATGGCTGAAGACTGGGAAGTAAACTGTAGCATCAAGACCCTGTTGTAAGAGATGTAGACATCTCTCTCTCTCTCTCTCTCTCTCTCCTCTCTCTCTCTCTCTCTCTCTCTCCCTCTCCCTCTCTCTCTCTCTCTCTCTCTCTCTCTCTCTCTCACTTTCACTTGTGAAAGAAATAAATTAATAAGCTTTTAAAAAATTCTAATCTAGGGCCACAGGTGGTGTGATGGTTAAGGTGCTGGACTCCTGCATGGCCAACTTCAGTTCAAATCCTGGACCTGGCAGCTTAAAAATCATACCAGGAGTGTATGCATGTGTGCCCAAAATGCCAAGAAGAGAATGGAGAAGGAGGGAGTGTAGCGTGGACATCCTCCTTGGGTGGGGAGGGGGAGGATTCTCATTTTCTCTCCTTCTGTCTCTTTTTCTTTCTCTCTCTGGCAAGCATACACACCCTATAGCAAACAAATCTTAAAAAAAGATTATAAATTATGATTGCTATACATTAGTGTATAGCAAAAGCATACACTGATGATATTTATATTGGTTGATATAATAATATAAAAGATTTTAATGAGCTAAAAATCACTTTTCAAATGCTTATTCTGGTAAGGTATTACAAATACCACTATATAATTAATGTAAAACCACTGAATTAAAAATTATTAAATAATAAATTTATATTCTAAAGTAAATCAATCAATCAGTCATGGACCACTAGTAGGATTTTGTTTTGTTCATTCATTTATTTATTTGAGAAATATTTATTGGGCTGGCCCCACAGTGCAAAGGTTAAGCACTATGCAGAGGTAGCCAGATCCCACATGGCTGCCTGGGATCCTAGTCCCAGTGGCAACACATAAGTGCCTAGGATCCTAAAGGAACAGAGAACTGGAAGAAAAGGGATTCTGGTATGACCGAGCCCTATCCCATAGCGGATATCTTTTCATTCTCCAAAAAAAATCTTTCCCTCTCTCTCTTTCTCTTGTGCACATGCCTTATGGCATTAAAAAAGAAAAGAAACAAAAGGAAAGACTTATGGAGCACCTGCTATGTCCCAGGCACTATGCTAGGAACTAGGGATAATTAGACAAGGTCTCTGCCCATTAACGTGTGAATCGGGGGGACCATCAGATGGCATATTAGTTACATTACTAGACTTCCATGTAGTTGACCACAGTTTGAATCCTGGACCTGGCAGCTTAAAACTCACACTGGGGTGTGTGTGCATGCATGCCCGAAACCCCAAAAGGAGAATGCAGAAGAAGAGATTGTGACATGGCCATCCCCCTTGGGGGGTGATTTATCACTTTTTGTCTCTCTGTCTTTCTCTGTCTCTCCAGTGACTGCACATACCCTACAGCAAAAACTCTCTCTGAAAAAAAAAAGTGTGAATGAGGATTAGAAGAGACTTTATAGTTCTCTGTTTCACATATTTAAAAAAACTGGGACTTAGGGCTGACAGGTGGCAAAGTGGTTAAGGCACTGAACTTCTGCATGGCTGAACATGGTTAGAACCCCAGAACCAGTGGCCTGAAAATCCACACTGGACACATGTGTTTGTGTGCCCAAAAATCCCATAAGAATGGAGGAGAAGGGATTGTGGCATGGCCATCCCTCTGGGGGGTGATTTCTCACTTTCCCTCCCTTTGTCTTTCTCTGGTGAACACACATGCCCTATGACAAAAATCTAAAAACAACAACAACAAATTAATAATTTTAAAAAAACCTGGGATTCATCACCAGCTTAGCCATTTGGGCTGACAGGTAACCAGGTCTACAGATCTCCTGCTGATGTGTTCTCTGTACACACTTTTTCTTGTGATTAAAGAGTGATGAAGGAGTGTGATAAACCTTTCTGCTTTATTCACATGGCCAATATATGTAATAGCTATTAAATTACAGGCAAAAATCACTAATGGATATGAACATAATTATTCAATAATGATTATTTAAATGAATATTTAGCAATTTAGAAACAGAAAATGATATGATACCATGATTAAGTCCTAATCTGCAACTTTTATTAAAGAACTAAAGTAAGGTAATATAATAGTGAGCCTTCTAAGCCATAATTATAGTTTTGCTTCTGTTTTCAGATCTGTAAAACAGGGATATTAAAAGTACTTATTTCACACGCTGTTGTAAAATTAAAATGAATTAATACTTGAAAGCACTTAATAAATGTGGTAAATATTCAGTAAATGTTAAATACTCTTATGAACAAGCATTTCTTAAAAGCAATGGTATGTCATATAAGGAAAAAAAAAGCAATTATCTCTCTTTAAGACATTATCACATTATTATGACAGTCTTATTTTGCCAGCAACTGGTAAAATCTATCACTAAAAAATATGTTATTTCAGAAAAAGTATTTAAAACACATAAAAATTAGTAGTGTGATCTCTTTCTTTATAAAGATATACATCAGTACTGGGACCAACAGATGGCATAATGGCTACGTCACTGGACTCCCATGTAGTCGACCACGGTTCAAGTCCTGGACCTGGTGGCTTAAACTCATGCCGGATGCATGTGCATGCATGCCCCAAGATCCCAAGAGGAGAATGGGGAAGAGATTCATATACATATACATATATATATATATATATATATTTATATACACATCAGTCCTAAAATTATAGGAAAACAGACACTAATTAAAATTATTCATTTAAAATTTATATTCCATAAGAATTTTGATTATTTAAATCATTTAGTTCAGTATTTCTGAGATTTCAAATTTGTAAAATTAAGAGACTGTTCAGAAATGACTTTCAAGTCATTAAAAATTTCATGCTGGGACCAGCAGTTAGCGTAATGGCTATGTCGCTGGACTCGCACATAGTCGACCACAGTTTGTGTCCTGGACCCAGTGGCTTAAAACTCACGTCGGGTGTGTGTGCGTGCGTGCCCAAGATCCCAAGAGGAGAATGGGGAAGAGATTGTGGCGTGGCCATTCCCCCCTGGGGGGTGATTTCTCACTTTCTGTCTCTCTGTCTCTCTCTGTCTGGCTGGCGAGCGCATGCGCCCTATAGCAAAAACCTCTCAAAAAAAAAAAAAAATCTTCATGCAGATGTCCTCATCTTACATAAAATATCTTTAAATTAGTTAATATCTGTGAAATAACCATGTATTGTATATATCAATGAAGCTCTTTTTTAATAAATCAATATAAAATATCAATTAATAAAATAATTGATTATATTTATATCTACTTACTGCAATCTCTCTACAAGCCGACATGGATATTCCTGTGCCTTCAATTTGCTTCAGTGCATATTCCTTTTCATCTTTTCTGCATATGAACAAAAAAAAATTATTTTCCATATATTATTTCACATTCAAAATTACAACTATAAAAATAACAGAAATACACTTAATCTCAATGATATGTAAACACTCTCACTATGCCATGCATTGTCTATTATTTTTTATATTTCAACTACAGAAATATGAAATACCAAATGAAATTCATGTCACAATGAAAACACCAGACAAAGCCAATACAGAAAATTCAAAATTGAAACAGAACAGGATACTAAACGCAGCACAAGTTTCCAGGAGTAAACAATCATAAAGTCAAAACATATTGTAAGATACTCCACGCCTGTCTTAATGGTATGAAATCTTCAGAAGCATTCTATTATAAAAATTTACTGTAAAAATAGCTGATAGACATAAACTTCCAGAATCATTTACAGTAATTGCATAGTATAAAAAGCATCTATAGGAGAATCTGCCAGAACAAGTCGTTTCTTGCCTACGAAAGGATACATTCAAAAGCCCCAAGACCTTGACCAAAACCTTACAAGACTTAAGAACTCCAGTCGCCAACATCTCATTCTCAGAAACTCTAGTAGAAACCTAGTAGTTACTGTGGATTTTCCAAACAATTATCATAGCATTAAAACTTCTAGCGACCAATAGTCACCAGGGTGATTAACTGAGAGAAGACAGCAGCTCAATAACAGTAATATAGTATGTAAAAATACTGATTGCATCACACAGGTGGCTACTGCAACACAGTCAGTATCCAGGGCACTTACATCAGACCTAGCCATACGAAGGCTCTAGATGAACGCTACAACTGTGTTCATATCATGGGTCATTCTGCTAAGAGAGGCAAAATCCATGCCCCCTGAGATCTCTCTTTTGATTGTACCAAAGCCTCAGCAAGGTTTCACCATGTTATGATTGGTCGAATTCCACAGCTGTCCTACGCAGCTATTTCTCATTTCCCCATTCTCTGTTTACCAACAGATACAGCAGTTAAGAGGTTATTTATAATGTGCATTTACGACATATATCTACATGCCTCTGGAAGATTTCCACAATCTGTTTTGGACAAATAATCGAATTATATTTACTTCCTCTCACGATGAGTTTGAAAATAATATACATTTTTCTTCTACTACATGGCATTCAAGAAATAATTAAGCAGCATTTTGTCATTGTTTTATTTTGTTTGTGATTTTTAGGTTTTTGCCATAGGGCACGCATGCTCGTCAGAGAGAAAGAAAGAGAAAGAGAGTGAGAAATCACTCTCCAGAGGGGATGGCCACATGCCCACTGTGATTCTCAAGTCACCAAATCCCGGACTCAAACTGCAGTCAGTCATGTAGGAATCCAGTACCTTAAATGGCCATGCTAACTCCTAGCCCCATTGCTGTTGCTTTTAAGCAGCATTTTGATAAACAAAATTTTTTGATAAACAAAAAACATACCAGATATGTCAACAAGAGGGACTGTGGTACAAATAACACTGAAATTAAGGCCATGAAGGTCACTGAAAATGTGGGAAGTATTTACCATATGCTGGTAAGAAAATATACAAAGTAAATCATATAAAACATGCACACATCTATACATATGCTGAGAGTAACTCAACAAAATTAAAATAGTGCTGTGAAGAGGCAGGTATTATGTTAACTAACTTTATCACTGATTTTTATATTACATTTTAAATTAGAATTAGAAGGAAAAGGGAAAAAGCCAAAATAATTTAATACTCAAAATATTTACCTACTAAAACAATCTTTAGTATTTTCAAGAGATACCTTAGGCATGTTTTATAGAGCAAAAGTAAAAATATGGAAAGCTGAAGTGAACCTTTTTCCCTTTTCTGCTACCTTGTTTCCAGCAAAATATAGACCAGACTTTTTTCAGACTACTGAGAAGACACTAAAAAAGACAAGCAGGACCAGGCCCATGGAATGGTGGTTAAGGCAGCTGGATTCCACATGGCTCACTGCATGGTCTGAGTCCTGGACCTGGCGGTTTACAAAACACACTAGGTGCATATACATGTGTGCCCAAAATTCTTAAAGGAGGGAGAAATGAAGGAGAAGGAATTGTGGTGTGACCATTCCCCATAGGACTTGCTTTCTACTTCTTCTCTTTCACTTTCTGTCTCTCTCCAAGAAGTACACACATCTTCTAAACAATTTTTTTTAAAAAAAAGAAGCACAAGCAGCAGGTGACTATGATCAAAGTCAAATACCTCTTGACCCTAAATGTATGAGAGGGTACATGGGAGAGAACACATGCCTAAGATGCTCTGACACACTGATGCTAACACTAAATTTTACACATTTAATAATTCAATTAGCTACCAGTTTTCCATTAGCAAATATTTAAGTTTAACCAATTCTTAAAACTTATAAAAGGTGTCTGACAAATTTTTCATGTGCAACCACTTTCTTCCAACAGAAATATTTCAATCCCAAGTCCCCTTAAATGAAGTGCTCCAGAAGCTCATGTAATTGCATAGTTTTATTTTTAATACTGTAAAGAATATTACACAATCTGGATAGGTTATCGTTGCTATGGAAACTATAAGAATTTTTTTTGCAATAAGTCAAAAAGTGCAAAATTAACACATCACATTAATGGCTTTTGAATTTCACATCCAGGCTGTCAAAAGAATCTGAAAGCTTAAGCAGAATAGGCCTCTTCTTCTGAATGATATAGATAGGAACAAGAAACAAACCCAGTAATCATTTCACTTAATAAGTTTAAATATAACTTCCATCTGTTAAATTAATAAAATGCTCAAAAATCTGCAACTTTAAGATGTGCAAGTTTTACATTGAGACTGAAAGAGCATTACCATCTCTCTTTTGGATATTAACTGTCAGATGCTAAGTGATGATGTGGCACCTCTGAAGTTCACCATATGAGGAAGTGGCAAGGTCCCCGAAGGCATATGGGAGTCCCTAGCACTTTACTATGTCAACGTCAATCTTTGGGCAGATGCCAATCCCTTTGTATGAAGACTAAATAAAGATGCATCCTTTACCACAGTGTCTAGAAACATCTCAATGACTAGTACCTACTTCAGTAAGTACATGGGGCAGGGAAGCCTTACTGCTTTCGTATCATGAGTGCCCCTCTCCAGGAGCTCCTCCAAGAGTCAGTAGCAGTTCACGTCCCACAGCCTAGACGTTTCAGTCACACACCCTACTAATTATCACAAAAGTACAATTTGTCTTTTTTTTTTTTTTGAGAGGTTTTTGCTATAGGGCGCGTACGCTCACCAGACAGACAGAGAGAGGCAGAGAGACAGAAAGCGAGAAATCACCCCCCAGGGGGGATGGTCATGCTGCAATCCCTTCTCCTCCATTCTCCTCTCGGGATCTTGGGCACGCACGCACATATGCCCGGTGTGAGTTTTAAGCCACCGGGTCGGGGACACGAACCGCAGTCGACTACGTGGGAGTCCAGTTTGTCTTTAACATGACACAGCTGAAAAGCAGGCAAACCCGGACAACACTGTTATGATGGCCTAGACTTTAGCGGGAGCTTAGTTCTTCTAAGACGTGGTGGTGAAGATGTTGGATTCCACATGGCCAATGCTGCCGTTCAAGTCCCAGACCTGGTGGCTTGAAAATCACACTGGGTGTATGTGGGTGCATGCCCAAAATCCCGAGAGGAGAATGGAGGAGAAGGGATTGCAGCAATCACCCCTTGTGGGGGGTGATTTCTCACTTTCCCTCTCTCTGTCTTTTTCCAGCAAGGACAATGCCCTATGGCAAGAATCTTTTTTAAAAAATTATTTCTAGAGACCAGCAGTTAATGTAATGGCTATGTCGCTGGACTCCCACATAGTCGAATGCGGTTCGCGTCCCGGACCTGGTGGTTCAAAACCCACGCCGGGCGCGTGTGCATACGTGCCCAAGATCCCGAGAGGAGAATGGAGGAGAAGGGATTGCGGCGTGACCATCCCCCCTGAGGGGTGATTTCTCGCTTTCTGTCTCTCTGTCTCTCGCTGTCTGTCTGGCAAGCGCATGCGCCCTATAGCGAAAACCTCTCCAAAAAAAAATTATTTCTAAATAGACAATGGAATTCCAAAGCATTCAGGGAAGTTGCTTTCTACATTTCAATGTATATTAGTATGATTATAATAACTACATATCAAAAATAACAAAAAGGAGTTGCAACAACTTCTGGGAGGGGTTTGTACACCTGGTGTGGGAGTTAAGGAACTCAGAGATTGTACTTGAAGTAGTGGATGCAACAACACATCCTGTGGTTCCAGCGCTGGTTTTGACCGCTACATTACCATTTTTTTCACCCGAGGGCCAGCTCTACCAAGTTGAATATGCTGTCAAGGCTATTAACCAGAGTGGCCTTACATCAGTAGCTGTCAGAAGGAAAGACCATGCAGTAATTGTCATACAGAAAAAAGTTCCTGACAAATGATTGGATTCCAGCACAGTGACTCACTTATTCAATATATCTGAACATTGGCTGTGTGATGACAGGAACGACAGCTGACAGTCGATCCCAGGTACAGAGGCCACGCTATAAGGCAGCTAATCGGAACTACAAGTATGGTTATGCGATTCTTGTGGACATGCTGTGGGAAAGAATCGCTGGTATTTCTCAGGTCTACACACAGAATGCTGAAATGAGGCCTCTTGGTTGTTGTATGATATTAATTGGTACAGATGAAGAACAAGGTCCTCAGGAGCACAAGTGTGATCCTGCAGGTTACTACTGTGGGCTTAAAGCTGCTGCAGCACGAGTTAAACAAACTGAGTCAATCAGTTTCCTTGAAAAAAAAGTGAAGAAGGAATTTGACTGGACATTTGAACAGACGGTGGAAACTGCAATTACGTGCCTGCCTACTGTTCTGTCAATTGACTTCAAACCTTCAGAAATAGAAGCTGGAGTAGTTACAGTTGAAAATCCTAAATTCGGGATTCTTACGGAAGCAGAGCTTGATGCTCACCCTGCTGCTCTAGCAGAGACTAAACATTATCATTAGTTTACCAAATCCATGATGCCACTTGC